GCTCACTCGTGTTTACACGCACAGGATGGTCCATTCGTTTTTGATATGGTTTAATGTGTATCATAACATAAACATTTTTTATTTTTTTTGTTTAGTTACTATAATACATAATATTATATTATTATATTATTTCACACATATATTTCACTCACTAAAACATCGATAAACATTATTATTTAAGTTTGAATACATTACTGGTCAATACTCAATTACGTTTTCATTTCAACAACACTTACGAGCGACACGATAACAAAAACATTATATAACAAAATGAAGTACATAAAGTATAATATATAGTATATAATACCTACCCATGTTTATATAATAATATAATACATAATGTAATAATATACTATTGGTAGGTATGTGTAAACAGTATTATCATAAATGTTAGGAATGTGTTTGATTTTAATGATTTTATACAATAATACAATAATAATATTATGTTATTATGCATTTGACTGTGATTCGTGTGTATTATTATAATATTAAAGCGAACTGTGCAAATTACGTGTTACTTTTACCTGAAATATAACACTAGAGTCTAATATTATTTTATTATATTTGGTACAACTATACAATCATATACCTAGGTAGTAACTAGTAAGTAATATATAGGCAATACCATGAATGCATTGTACATCATAATAATAACTCTAGGCGTTAATTCTAGAAAAATAAAATTCAAAGTAAAAAAAAAAAAACTTAAAAATAGAAACATGAAAAGCTGAATAATATAGTACTTACAATAATAATACAAAAAGAAAACGAAATCAATACATTAAAATATAATTGAATACACGTGTAGGCATATATATTATATAGTATTACAATAGGTATAGGTAATACTTTATATTATATAGTATACGGGGCAAAATGAGATCATGAATTTTATTTTTTACGCTTTTTTTTTAAAGTGAGTTACTGTCATAAACACAACTTATTAGGTACATGTATTAGGTATATAATTATTACACGAATTAAAAAAAAAAACAACAAAAACAATATTAACTAATATTATGTTAATCAATACAAAGCGGTAACATAACCAGAATAATAATTGTATACTGCAAAGGCATATTTATATAAATTATAATCTGTTATTAATGTTTGTTGATGATTGTCTTAAAACTCCGCGGAATTTGTTTAATATTGCAATCGTTTTGTGTTTCCTAGCTGGACCCTATTCAAAATCGAACCCCTTAATGCGATTGATATCATACAACAAGCACCTACTGAATTGTTTTGAACAAAAAAAACTTGCGACAATTATGAAACGATGACGCGCTTGGATTTTACTCTAGAAAAAAAAATAACTTTAACATTTTAAGCCTGAGCATACCTATTTGTCGCACGTGCAGCATGCAGTACTTATAGTTTATCATTGGTTCGGCATTATTGTACATGTAAAATATTTTTTGGTAAGTACCCACAACAATTTTGTTAACGTTAAGAAAAAAAATACACAACATAATATTAATAAGTAATATAATTATTAATTACTAGCTTAAATTATTATAATATAATATGCAATCAAATTGAATGTACACAGCTTATACGTTGTTGAAAACGAGTAGGTAAAATGTTATTATAGTATAACATTGGTAATAATATAATATTTAACTTTATACATAATATTTAATATAATAATAATATATATTATAGACTCATACTTAAAACGTATGATGGATTATTATTTTTGATTTTTATAGTTATTACTACTACTAAAACAAAATGCGTGCCTATAATGTATTATATTAAATTATGTAATATGAAAAAAAAAATGGTACTTATCACTAATGTAAAATTTAAATATTATTAAACACTTAAATAAATTGTATAAAATGGTGGAGAGGGAGGGGGTCGAGACAGAGTGAGAGAGATAGAGAGACGCATATATTATAAGAACGATCAAATACGTATTAAAAATACTAAATGCCTACCCACCTACGTATTTCATCGAAAAATTAACATCAATAACACACAGTAGTTATATTGTGCAGAACTAACACTCCGCCACTGTTACTTTTGGCATCTACTACCTAATCGCGCAACGAAGAACCGTTTTTCAAAATAGTTTAATTTCAATAACATAATAATAATAACAATTGGTATGATTTTTTGTTTTTTTTTTTTAAATTCCAATAGCTTACTCATTAACACCATTCATATACTTACACAATAATAACAATAACAACAACAACATCGACCCGGTCGAAAAATGAAATTAAGGATGCGGGGAGGAAATCTTTACAGGTAGGTACGAACAACCGTCGAGGTGTCCGTAAAATATTATCGTTTTATTGCAAGTGCGAGAAAAGAAAACCAGCACCTAATTATAATATTTATAGTTGGATGAGCAGGTATATATACCATGTTTATGAATCATTATTTATAATTAAAAATGAATATATTAGTACCTAGGTGTAGGTTAGGTATCATCAGATTTGACGAGCGACGTCATGTATCTCGAGTGTTTTCTACTATTTTATGGGTTCAGGCAAGTTAATTTTTTTAAATTTTTCTGTCGTTTTTTTTTTGTACAGAGCATATCAGTTAAAAGTTATTTCACGATATGAAAATAGAATCTAATAACCATAATACCTTATAGTTCGTTCGTCTATTACGCTTTCAGAAAAATAATATGAACTAAGTTCAGTTTGGTTCGCAGTTTGGTCGGGTCATACAAATTTTTTTTTATTCGAGTTGCTGTTACTCGTTAGGAACTGAACGGGCGAAAAAACAATTGTGTTGTAAAATATTATTTTAATACTTTATGTTAATACTTGTGTAACTGCATCTGTGCGAACCCGACGAATGACGATCCCCAGACTGCATATTATTTTTTATGAAACCTATTTATTTTTTTGTCAATCTTTTCTACCTGAATTGTCTATCTTGTTGAAATAACTAAGTGCTTAGTTGAAAAAATGTGTAGGTATAACCTAACCAAACACGAATATAGTTATATTTTAGACGCTTTATTTTTTTTTTGTGTTAATTAATTATTTAATTATTCGGTAATTGAAATACAATTTACCGGAAAAAATACAACTATATACTCTTGATTTTTTAGTCAAACATTAGTGTTTAAACTACTTAATTTATCTGCACAGTTTTTGGAACGAAAGACAGGAATTGTCAAGGTCTGTCTTATATCTGAACATATGAATATACCTAGATCGGGGGCACCCCAAAAATGTTTTGTTATCAATGTCTAATCTACTCGATTTACAATAATCCTAGTAAAATGTTTTTATAAAAAGGGAATTCAAATTAAGTACGATGAAAGTGTGCAGTCTTGCACGCCTCAAAGGGAAAATACTAAAATCTATATAATTATAATAATATAATGTCGTCACATAGCAGAATAATCCGTCGTCGGAAAATCCCACCCGCCCGCCCACCTACATATTATATACAATATTGTACATTTTGGGAATCACAACGTCCGGGACGGTGTAGTTTTTTTTGTTTACGACCACTTTTCCCTCACCACCGCCGACTTCTCAAGACCGACAACCATGGTTGTCCTCGTTCCTGCAACTACACTTGTATAGTTGTGTCCATGATATAGGCGGAGGTAGTTACGATTTCATATGAACTCATAGCAGACGACGACGGACAATGGCAATAAATATTTACTGCCAAAGTGTGCGCGAGCAGCACTTACGATCATACTTGCCCTCCCTCACAATCACACACCTCCTCCATAGCTCGCGGAAACCGTTATACCGCTACAGCCATATTATTCGCACCCAAGACATGGTACAATCTCTCGTCCGTAATATGATAATATGATATAATATTATCGTCTTTACACACATCACCATCATCGTTATTAAAGCCCGCGGTTTCTTGTGCTCGAAAAACTTCGGCTGGCTTACATAATATAATATTACCATGGTCATTATGAACTAATAATATATTATTTGACCATCGGCTGCAGTGTCTTTATGTACCGTGATGGCCGCAGCGGCGAACCGATGGTATACCTTTGGTTACCTGCATAAAGCGCGTTGTACATACGAAACCGTCGATTCGATGGGTACAATGATTGTCATCATCCTCTAGTCGCGACGTTTCCGCTCGTGTCGTAGACACCCACAGTCGCACCGTAATACTATATTAACGCCGATCGCCACCCCTTCGTACCCCCACTCTCGTTAAACACCCACCCACCCACACACACACACACATACCTCCAAACCACCCCCTCATCATACCCCAACATCACCTCCACCGTGCATACATACCGACAACCAGGTTATTTCGCGTATTTCGCGATTTAATATCATATCATACTATACTGCTGCTGGGAACATCTCACGACCGGACTGATCACGTGCGCTGTACAATATCGTCCGGCCGCGGACAGTATTTCATTTACTTCCTACAGTATTTACAACATTATTTTGACTGGCAATATTTTCGTCTAGACGGCTGCTGTGCAAGGAGACCACAGGCAGGCTGTCCATTTAATAATACAGATATTATTATTATTATTATTTACCCATCTTCGCGAGCGAAATGCTTTTGCTATCGATTTTCGTTTATCTGCGACTCATCTGTATACGTGCATACGAGTATAGGTAGTATATGTAAGTATTAAACCGTCTGCCGCCGAAGCCGACTTTCGTCGTGGCAGACGTTGTTACGATATTATTTTAGTATATTATAGTCTGCAACGCGCTTATGCGTACGTACATTTTACGTGTCTGTGACGAAAATGGCGACTGCCGGGTGAGTGCGGAAGGACGACGAACGGCGAGGGATTTGCGATCGAGAAGGAAAGTTCTATAGACTGCAGCAGACGGTATATATATATATATATATTTATAGGTACGCAGTACTTACAATAAGCACGAAAATGCGTATTGCGTACATATCGCCATTTGAATACACGAGAGTGGATCGAGAGCGGTCGTTGTTGGGCGTAGTGGCGTCTATAGGGCTC